TTAGACCAACCATTAATTTTACAATAATATTATAGAATAAATTAATGTTTAAATTATTATAAACCCATTGGTACAATAAGATTTACATTTCACTATTCACTTTTAACTACACAAGTTCATATGGCTTTGTTCTTTTTAATCTTCTGACCATGCTTCAGTTATGTAAGAATTTGGTCGCTTCCACATTCTCGTGCTGGCTGAGGCGAGCCTGGTGTTTGGCGGCAAATCTTTGTATTTCCGCCAGATTTCAGGGATCTGAAGATCCCTATGTAAGTCCTTATTCCTTATGTACCAAGGTGCATTGACCATGTTACGTAAGATTTTATTTTGGAGTGTTTGTATGATTTTGATATTGCTGTGTTTGGTACAACCCCATAGTTGAATACCATATGTCCACATAGGCTTTATGATTTGTTTATATAATAATATTTTATTCTGTATTGCAAGATTGGAGCCACGTCCTATCACCCAGTATAGTTGTCTATACCTTAAACCTATTTCTGTCCTTTTTTTCTTCACGTGTTCTTTCCATCTCAGCTTGGCATCTAAGGTCATTCCCAGATATTTAGCTGTATTGCTGTATCGTATAGTAGTTCCATCAATTGTGAGCGACGGAACATGGTCCACCTTTTTGTTTGTAAAGATTAGATGAACTGATTTATGTTGATTTAGCTTGATTTTCCATTTTTTTTGTCCATTCCTTTATCTTATTACATGCATTTTGGAGGATTTTGGTTGAGTGGGTGATAGTCGGTCCTAGTGATATCACCGCTGTGTCATCTGCAAACGTTGCAATTTTTACTCCATCTATTTTCGGAAAATCACTGGTGTATAACAAGTAAAGCAGTGGACCTAATATGCTACCTTGTGGCACTCCTGCATTTATTGTTTTTAATTTTGAATATTGATCTTCTTGACTCTAAACAGTCTGCCAGTTAGGTAGGAACTGATAATATCGACATACTGCTTTGGTAGCATACCTTTTAGTTTATTGATGAGTCCTTCGTGCCAGACAAGGTTCAAAAGCTTGTGAGACATCAAGGAAGATAGCAGAACAAATTTGTTTTTCTACGAGAGATTTTTCTATTACGTCCGTTACTCGGTGAATTTGGTCTATTGTTGAGTGTCTTGTTCGGAATCCAAATTGGTGGTCAGGAATGATTTTCTTTATTTCAACGATGTGTTTTATTCGTTTTAATAATAACTTTTTTAATAATAACTAAGAGTTTAGACACTGAAAAACCTTAAATAAAAATTCACTAATAACGTGGTCCGCTTGACCAATTAATATATTACAATTAATTAAGGTTTTTAGTTGAGATGAAAAAAAGGTTAACGGTACGAGCGGGATTCGAACCAACGATCTTCGGCTAGATACGCCGCTGCTCTACCACTTGAGCTATCGTGACCTCGATCCACTCGGACACCAACTTTCCATCTCAACCCCTTAAATAAAAAGAAGAATGGCACAATTACACAAAAGACAAACACTTTGAGCCCTGAAGATGATCTCAATAAAGATCGAAACGTTGGCACGATAAAGAAAATGTTTTTCTGAAACCTACATCACACCAGACCGCATCTCACGATTTCTGAATATTTATAAAAATTATTTAATTATGATGGTTAGGAAGACAATTTATCAAAGCACCGGAATACAATTTATTGATAGAAATGAATTTAACTAACAATTTATTTCATGGTTTTCCTCATAAAATTACACCATTTTCGTCGAGTAGCGTCAGAACAGGCCACTCAAATTTTTTGTAGTTTATTTCAAACTATGTCTATGTAATTTTGTCGTTATATTAATTGCAATAGTCTTGTGTGTCGTGTTAAACACCGCACATATTAATTGAAATGAAATTTGAAAAATGGCAAAAAGAGGGAAAATTCGAACGGTTGTAGGGTGGTGTCCGAGGGAATTGAAGTCACGATAGCTCAAGTGGTTAGAGCAGGGGCTATTGAGCCGAACGTCGTGGGTTCGAATCCTGCTCGTGACACTAATTTTTCATCTCAACTAAAAACCTTAGATAAAAAGAATTATTCATTAGAATAATTAATATAGAAAATTATGACCAGTAACAAAATATGATTAATTGCTAATGTTGATTTCTTGAGCAACTTTCTCCCACTTTGGCCGAGAAATAGCTCTTTTGTGATATTTTTTGTCGGTCATGTCCCACAAACACCGATTCTCAAAAACAAGACTAATCAGTTTATCCATGGTGAAATGCCCTGTGTAAATTGAAAGTCAGAACGCATGAAAAAATCAAACTGGTTTGATCGCTCGAATGGTTCTGACGACATCGTGAGCGTTCTGACATGCATTTCACTGCCAAAGTTCGTTGGAAACTCCCGTTGGAAAACAAGTCAGAACAAAATTTCGTCAGAATTCGCATCCATAGCAACCGTAGCTTTAAGTATTGTAAAATCCGTTGTCGTAATTTTTAGAAGTAAAATTCGGCCAAAATATTAAGACTGTCAAATAGTTTTTTGAAAAGGTGTAAATGAAAAGAAAAAATGAAAGATTACTTTTTGCCCGAAGACAATTTTTAAGCGTGTTTTACGATGAGAAAATCTGCGAGTCGATATCCCCCCTGAGGCGGATATTAACGGGGTAAAAATTATTACCCGGGGATGAGGCGAAGATTTTTAACGGGCTCGACAATAAAAATAAGATGGTTAAAAGCAGCACGTGTTTTGTGATGATCGACAAAAAGGTGTCAAACAATTTCGTGGCAAGAGGAAGGAGGTTTGATGAGGCAGTTTGTATCGTCTGTCGGACTGGGAGGCGGCCTCCTCCTCCACCTCCGCCGTTTCCGTCGCTCATATCCTTCGAACCGGCTAGACTAAACGTCCCCGTCTGGAACGGAGGCGGTAAAATTTCAAAATCGAATCCGACTCCCGTTGAAACTGAGTCCGTTCTATCCGAAAACGGGCGAAGAGGACGGTGAGCCGGCTAGGAATACGTGCGCCGAGGCTCCTTCCAGCAAATCGATGTCTGTACTACCCATTGTACAAATATTTCTACCCCTCTTCTACTACACTTATAGGAAATATCTCATGCTCCGCCTAACTCTTTTAACCACCGATTTACCTTATGTTATTCTATGCTATACCCTCTTTTAATACTTTCTTAAAATATTAATCACTCCGGGAGTTGTAGCAGTACTTGGGTACTCTTTCCCGGCACGACCGGCCTCTTAGCGTCCTCGATTGTTTCAAAATTGTTAGCTAAAACATTACGGAAAAATACGAACTACGTTTCAACCGCGTTTCCCTCCAGTACACCACCTCAAAACTCCAAACATGCCCTGTTCGTATACCCCCAGGTCATAGGAAACATAATAAACACAATCGAGGGTGAAATATTCAATTACTACGTCCAGTTTACTATAGCCTGGTAAAATTAATACTGATAAATGATTATGCGTTTGCAAAAAAAACCTTCCGCAGCGTCTACAAAGGAATTTTTCGTTGCGTCTTTATTTCATAACAAATTTGTTTTTTTTTGTTTTTTATTGTTGACTTGGGTTCCTTACGTTCGTTCAACCAAGATATTGGGCTGAAAGGCGAGAGGGATGGAAATGGACGAAACTGGGATGAACGTGGCCTCAGGTCCTTTATCCACGCTTGAATCACTAAATTAAAAAAGTAAAAAAAAAGGAGGGGTGAAAGAAACGATAAAGAAAGAGTAAACCTGGGTAAGTGAACTAAACCATAAGAACGTTAAAAAACAAACAGAAATACCTTTCACTTTTCGCCCAACCCTCTGGAGAGTCGCTTAATGGAAAAACAAGTAAATCCAATTGCAGCTGTGTTTATTTTTTTTTAAATCTTATTCAATTATTTACAATTCTGTATAATTTTATTATACTCGCTTATTAAATTATATTATACCAATATTTTTTATAAATACTGCCACAGTATAAAAATCTACTAAACACTAGAAACATCCGTTAATTAATTTCTACAAAAAAAATTACATATATGGCATAAAATTTATCAACATTAGTATAGGCAGTGATACACATTACTAATTGCATTTTTCAAAATGTCAAGGAAAACAACGTCACACAGCCAAAAAAAACATTATTTTTTTGTCAAAATTTGAAGCACGTACAATTCAATATCGGACAAATTTCAATAAAATCTGCACTAAAATAGGTCGGATTTCCCATTTTAAAAACGCTATTTTTTTAAGTCGATAGAATAAGTTTTGATCATTTTTTTTTTAAATTAGAAACTGCAGATTCTCTGTTTTTTGCGAGTCTTAACTAATAAAAATTTATTTTTTTCCATCTATAATTTTCATGTTGTATAAAATTATATTTACAATACTGCACATTGCTAGGTTTATAGTATGTAATTTTATATCAATAGTAATAATGAAAATTAGTTGATGAAGAAGGAGAATATACTGTCCTGTTGTTAAAATTTTACAATCGTACAACACGAATTTTATCAATTGGGATAGTAGTTTTGAGGGAGATAAACAGGAATTTTGAGAATAAATCTTTCTTCGGTAGTTTAAATATTTTTTTTTTAAATCATTTCGCACTTTAAGAGGGTTGAGATTGTAAATAGCTTGGGTTTATGTTGAGCATGGTTCATAATTTTTCAGTAATGGTCGTAGGGACCGGCTTAGACAATATTAAGGCCTGTGATGTTTGGAAAAAGTGAAGAATATGTGGTCTGGGACACCGTGACCGACGCCACAGAAATTTGAAGGTGAAACGTGCGAATGCCGGCTCGTGTGTATCCACGGTTAATAATTACACATTGTAAACCGGCGAGACGCAACCGGTCCATACAGCATCACGGCGAAAAGCCGAAAGACGGTCCAGCCATGGGAATAAACGTGGATAAATAAAAGAAAAAAAACAAAACCCGGCCCCGAAAGTCGAAATCGCCTTGTCGCGAGACGGTCAAACGATCGTAAAGGCGTGACATCGACCGGGCCGAGGGCAAATCGCAATAAATGAACGTGTACTCACTCGTTATGCGGGATGTCTTCATCTTGTTGTAAGGAGAGAGGAAGAAAGACGACAGCGAGGAGAAGAGACAAATGCATGTTGTTCGGCTCAAAACATTCCTAAACTACTGGAGGCAATGCCCCTTCGGCTTGTTTTGCTGAGTTCTCGCGGAAGGATGAGTGTCACCTTACTCAAGCGACCATCGCACTCACTCACTCAACAGATCTATTTTTCCCTCGACGTACTCACTAGTAAGCAGGGAGAGTACACTGTAAGCCTGGCCCAAGAGGAGACCGGCGCAAGTCCTAACCGCCACCCACCTATTGATTTCATTATACCTCACTGCCACCACAACTCCGGACTATTTTCTACATATTTTAAAATAATCGTTAATAGATTTTTTTAAATCAATTTTTGTTTAAACGTCCTACCTCACTGCCGCTTTTTATCAAAACTGGTTTTTCAAAATTGGAGGGAGATGGTAAATTTTTAAATCGCCTTTAGATTCAAGTTGGCTACTTTAAAAAGAAAAAATATTTGAACTTAAAAAATATATTTTCTAAATAAAACACCTAACAGTTAAGCATACAAGTATACATAATTAAAATGTCTCGCATACCAGTGTGAGATTTTTTATAAAAGACGTGGCCTTTTATTTTTACGTTGCCTATTTTATTGCAAAACTAAGTATGATTCCATACGTAATTTTTCACTTAGAACCTGCTGAAGCGTTAGGTGATCAATTTTTTTCAAATGTAATGCCCTATGTTTTTTAAAATAAATTTAAAAATTCTATTCCTTTTAAACGAAGATATCAGAGACTCAAAAAATCATCGATTCGTTCTGAAGATATTGAGTCCTGAAAGAAAACTTCAATATTTTCAGAAAATTCGATGATTTTTCAAACACGTTATAAAATTCCTTTCCTTTAAAAAAATGATACCAGAAACTCAAAAAATCATCGATTCGTTCTGGAGATATTGAAGTTTTCTTTCAGGACTTAATAATTTCAATTGATTGTATAACGAGTCAAAAAAGAAATTTAAAAAGTCGAGTTTATAAGAAACGTATTTTTTCACTTAGAACCTGCTGAAGATAAGAGTTAAGAGGGTGAGGTGATCATTTTTTTTTTCAAAGTAATGCCCTGTTTTTTTAAACAAATTTAGAAATTCTATTCCTTTTAAACGAAGATATCAGAGACTCAAAAAATCATCGATTCGTTCTGAAAATATTGAAGTTTTCTTTCAGGACTCAATAACATCAATTTATCGTTCAACCGGTAAAAAAATTTCATATGTAAAGGAAAACTTCAATATTTTCAGAAAATTCGATGATTTTTCAAACACGTTATAAAATTCCTTTCCTTTAAAAAAAATGATACCAGAAACTCAAAAAATCATCGATTCGTTCTGGAGATATTGAAGTTTTCTTTCAGGACTTCATAATTTCAATTGATTGTACAACGAGTCAAAAAAAAAAAAGAAATTTAAAAAGTCGAGTTTATAAGAAAACTTCAATATTTTCAGAACAGTACAACAAATTTTCAAAAACATTTTGAAATTGCTTACCCATCTAAAAAACTGATACCAGAAACTCAAAAAATCATCAATTTGTTCTGAAGATATTGAAGTTTTCTTTCAGGACTCAATAATATCAATTTATCAACTGGTTAAAAGAATTTCATATCTAAAGGAAAACTTCAATGTCTTCAGAAAATTCGATGATTTTTCAAAAACGTTATAAAATTCCTTTCCTTTAAAAAAAATGATTCGAGAAACTCAAAAATTCGTCGATTCGTTCTGAAGATATTGAAGTTTTCTTTCAGGACTCAATAATATCAATTTATCAACTGGTTAAAAGAATTTCATATCTAAAGGAAAACTTCAATGTCTTCAGAAAATTCGATGATTTTTCAAACACGTTCTAAAATTCATTTCCTTTAAAAAAATGATACCAGAAACTCAAAAAATCATCGATTCGTTCTGGAGACACTGGAGTTTTCTTTCAGGACTTAATAATTTCAATTGATTGTACAACGAGTCAAAAAAAAGAAATTTAAAAAGTCGAGTTTACAAGAAACGTATTTTTTCACTTAGAACCTGCTGAAGATAAGAGTTAAGAGCGTTAGGTGATCAATTTTTTTTTTCAAATGTAATGCCATATGTTTTTTTAAACAAATTTAGAAATTCTATTCCTTTTAAAGAAAGATGCTACAAAGTCAAAAATTAATCGATTCGTTCTGGAGATATTGGAGTTTTCTTTCAAGACTTAATAATTTCAATTTATATTATAACGAGTCAAAAAAAAAGAAATTTAAAAAGTCGAGTTTATAAGAAAACTTCAATATTTTCAGAACAGTACAACAAATTTTTAAAAACATTTTGAAATTGCTTACCCATCTAAAAAACTGATACCAGAAACTCAAAAAATCGTTTTCTTTCAGGACTCAATAATTTCATATTTTAGTCTAACTAGTTAAAAAACCTCAAATTTGAAATTTAAAGGAAAACATGAATATCTTTAGAACAGTAACACAATTTTAAAGCCTTTCCATACTAAAGCAATGATACTAGAAACTAAAAATACATAGATTTTTTCTGGAGATGTAGGGACAATATAGGGGAGATATAGGAATAAAAGAGGCGACCACAAGGCCTACTGCACCTCGACCTCCATAGATCTATTGTGCTCTGCTGTTTTTATAACTCACTGGCCAGCTTCAGGTTGGTAATCAGCCACCATAGCTTTGCCAGCGGTTCCTTGGTGTAGGATCTTGCTTGCGGTATTTCTTGTCTTAGTTGCAAGAACCTGTACCCACATAGACCTTCACAGAAACATAGAATGTGTTCTGCTGTCTCCTCTTCTTTCTGGCAGTATCCGCACAGTGTTTCTTCTATCTGTACTCCTATCCGGTGCATGTGCTTTCTTAAGTGGGAGTGCCCTGGCAGGAGTCCAACCGGAATCCTGGTTCGGTTGCGGTTGCCTTCCAGTAATTATTTTGTAAGTATTGCGGATGGTCCTGATGGTCAGTGCTGCACGTGCTTCCACATGATAGAACCTCCTCCACATGTCACTGTTTGGTCGTGTTAATTTGAAGTTAAAAATGGTAACAATTTGGATGGAAAAAATTGTAAAGAAGTGGAAGAAATTTTTACTCACTGATGAGACCTGGAGAATGAGTCGGTACTGCACGTGAGGATAGTGACATTTGGATGAAGTTCTATCATGTGTGACGGCAATTTGTGTAAGGGACCGAGCTGGTACCAATCCAAAGGATACTTTCTGGTCTTAAGATATGCGGACATGATCCAACGGAATATACTGTGGTGGCCACATGTAGTTACCATCTACCGCTTGTGGAATGTTCTCGTCCTCCTTTCTGCAGCCGTTCAGAGTAGAACCCTTCCGAATATAAGCAGGGGCACTGCCCCACTGACATCAGACTCGTCTTCTCAAGAGCTCTTACTAGTCACTAATGGAACACCATAATCGACAACGACAGCAGACCCGTCAACTCGACTAGTTCTGTCTTATCAATAATGAAGCACCTAAAACAAGGGTACACTCAGCGTTAGCCTCGAACTCGCCTTCTCAACATAGCCGACTCACGACCCCGAACCTGAGCCAACTGCTCTCTCAACAGGCACACACATTCGCTCCCGACCTCGATACATCGTCTCAACGCTACGCTTCCAAACACTTATCAGGCCACCAAAAAACTGCCAGTCACGAAAATGCCTTTCTTGAACCATTGCTTATACACTATAATAAGATAACATGTGTTTATGAGTATCTGAACACCATAGGTATACAGCCTCTTAAAGTGGCTAGGAAAAATTCCTTAACCCATTTGAACACGTTCTGAACAATCTCAAAAGATAAGTTGCGTCACGTGACCAAACTCAAACGCTAAAGGCGATTGCTAAAGTAGTAAAACGACATACCCCAGGTTGTTATACAAAAACGTTTTATGGGAACGCCAAAAAGATTGGAAATAGTCATTAAAGCAATAGAGGGCAATTCTTCTTGTTTAAAATGCCATATTAAATCGATCAAAAAAAAATTGTTTGTTCTTCTGAGATGTTTTGATTTATGTGAAACAAGATCTTTTCCGAAACTACAAAAATCAAAATCTCTTTAGTTATTTTTTTAAAGGGGCATCCGACATGGTCATTTAAGCCCGAGCGCATGCGAAATATTGCAACACTCACTCAATACGCATTCACACAAATAAATACATTTATACACCTATATACATTGCATTCATCCTATTTGGTGGATGGAGTACTCAATATTCCTCCATCAACTTGCGTACAATAACAAACTAATCTAATTGGGGTCGATGGGGTACTTTTATCCCGCCCTCGACCCAAGCCACACAGCTCGAGGGGCGGTGGGGACGCTATTCCACCATCAGCCCCTCCCCATTCACTCTAATAAATACACTCACTTATACAAAACACAGAAACACAAAACACATATTTTGAAGCCTATATACAATAAAAAAAAACCTAATTCCTATAAAAAGCGGAACAGGGGACCCTGAAACTCGCTACCGGGTTCGAGAACTCGTTTTAAATCCGGTGGCATGCCTACACGCTCTCAGTATGGAGCCAAGGCAGTTAAAACCTTATTATTAGAAGATGGGTTTAGATTTTAGTTAAAAATATTTTATCAGGCGTTTTATAGTGGGTGGTTATTGAAGTAGTCTGATCTTAACATTAAAAATTGCTCGACAAGAAAAATTCATGTGGGTAATTGAACACAAAACAAATAAATATTGCTTTCACTTAAAATTCCCGGTTCCGTTTTAAACCATTAAACACTAAGCTTCGAGGATATAATTATACCCGTCTTTCTATTGAAATGTAAGCTTGGACCACTTTGTACTAAGCCTCGTTAAACAAATTCATTTACAGCCGTGCGGATGTGAAACATGAATCTGATTATCTCTAATGAAATTAGAAATATGCGATAAACTTGTTTGTGTCTCTGCTAATGCCTAATAGAAATGGAATTATGTTCAATTATTTTTTCTTCCACGTTCTACAAATAAGACACAGTTTGCTGTATAGAGTGTTTCTCAAAAATCCAAACTAATTCAGCTCGTATTCGGATTATTAAAAAAATTGGATTAAAGAGGGTTTTAAAAATATGAATAAATATCTTAAAAAAATTACAGCACAACACTTCATTATTATTGCAAACATAAAACGTTAAATCTATTAAAATACATCTGTCAATTTTCTTTAAAAAATCAGTTAAATTTTTTAATATATTTAACATTTTCTTCAATACTTCTTACTCTTTTTAATT